TAAATCGATATCTTATATTGATTCTCAAGTGCTTTTGTTAATTTATATAAATTTTTTAGTTCATATTTATATAAAAAATCCCAAAATGAAGTACACTAGTTATTCTCTAAAATGTCTTTATAAAGTTCTGTTACTTTGAGAAATTTGTTATACTCAAAATATTCATTCTTTGAGTTTATTATATTAGATAAATAAGATGAAAATAATATAGAAGATGATAAAATATCAAATATATTTATATTTTCTTGATTACTTAGAAAAATTTTACTAATTTAAGGTAGTATTTAATAGAATAGTGTCAACTCAAAGCTTTACTAGAAAGAAGTTCACTTAAAATAATAATTTTGCTTCTGAACAATTAGTATTCCATTATTGCTTATAAAGTTTAATATATTGAGTTTGTGTATCTTCTATTAACTTTTTTCTATTTCAAGTAAATATGAATAGTATAGAAGTAATCTATTTCAAAGTTCGATATCATTGTTTTGGTCACAATAAATACAATAATACTAAATATTGATCTATAGATTTCTAAAATCTAATACTATATTTAAGATATATACTTTTTTGTTTGTTTATGTTGATTTCTATCTTTATTTATCATACTAACTACAATATTCTTTATAGATTGATTAAGAATTACAACAAGATGCCAACTTGAATTTTCTTATATATTGTACATATTGGATAAGTATTATATATATTAATTATATATACTTTAACTATTATTTTCTATTTAGAAGCTAATATCTTAATTATTACTAATAAACTTTGATGCAGAGATTATATGGGCTGCCGTCAATAGAAATCAGGCAGATTGACATTTTAAAAAAAATCCATACCTCAACTTTCACAGCTCATATCTCGATTAATTTTGAAGCTATCTTGATGATTCAGCATTCAAAAGAAAGCTTAGAACTTAATATTTCTTTTGAATATTAAATTATCAAGATAGCTTCAAAATTCATCGAGATATTGGCTGTGAAAGTTGAGGTACAGATTTTTTTTAAAATGTCGATCTGCCTGATTTCTATTGATGGCAGCCCATATATACTTAGGAATATTGAAATATACTAGAGTTCAAAGGTCTTATAATTAATATGTTTTAATACTAGGCTATGAGGTATTTGATTTTCTGTTTCCAATAACTATGTTATTGTATTTCTTTTCTATTATTACTATAATTTTCTTTTTTACTTTTTCATCTATAGTTATGTAAACTGCACTGCTCTACTCAATTGATATCAGATTTCAAATATATATTGAGGGTTTCAAAGGTTAACTCTAATATGATATGCAAAACAAATATACTTCAGATCTTAAAGAGAATATACTGTAAGTTTCACAGTCTTTTGAATATTGCAAGCGGTTGATAGCTAATTCTAGTTTATCTAAGCTTTCTTTATAAAATTGTGGTTTACAATATATTATTAAAATAATAGATACAATTGCTATTGTTTTTAAATGATTATGCAAGTAACTGAGAACTTATTTCATAGTCACTACCAAAATATTACACCTGGAGTTAACCTTTTTATACAACTCAGAAACATGCAGGTTATAGAATAAGAACTATTACTATGATGATATAGTGTGTTAATATGGTATCTATTATATAACTTATTAAAAAGAATTTAATAAGGCTTTAATAAAAAAGGCAAATATAGCTACTAATATATATAGATATCAATAGTTGTCACTTGGGTTAATTGTGTATAAAAACAAAATTCTATTTATTACTTAAAATAGAGTCTTGAGACTCTAGGTCTAGTTATACCTAGGTTAATTACAGAGAATATTTAAATATATTTTAAAAACTAAAACATATAATATGATAGATATTTCTATCTGATACTAATGTGAATCTATCTAATAATCTAATATTAAACCAAATATATATATATAAAATAGAATGAGATATTATATACAATATAAGTTTATATGTAAGTCTTAGAATTATCAGACCATATATGAATATCTTAATATTACGTTCATATTTACAAGAATTAAATAGTATAATAGATATAAATTTTTATAAAGTAATATGTTATCAATCAATAAAATTTTTATATAATATCAGTTAATCGAACCCAGACATGTTTGTGAACTTCAAACCAAACTTCAGACTAAACCAAACTTGGTTAAAAAGTTTATAATTGAACTTAAACCAAACATAGTCTTGAAAAAGTCTAAGTTTGAGTTTGGTTTAAAATCGAACTAAACTCAACCTTAGCCAAAAGTTTAGTTTGGTTTGATTCAATAGAAGCACTATTGCCTACTCTCTATAGTTTTAATCTCTAAAAGCTTACATGCACTATCTAATTTCCAAATATTTTATAACTGCTACTTATTATACATAGTGCTAACTCTCTATAGTTTGATCTTCTTTTAGAAATTTTCTATTAAATATGTTCTTTACTTGGACTTTCTAGAGGCTCTGTATTTGATTTTGCACTTCACCTGTAGGTTATAGAGTTTTTTTTTACCTCTAGCCTGACTTAAACTGTAGATCTTGACTTAACTTCCATGGGGTTTGTTAACTTAACAAATAAGCTATAAAGCCAAAACTTACTATTTCAAAGATAAAATATTCAAAATAATTACTTTAATTAAGTATATAAATTTTATTACACACTTGGAATATGAAAATATGTGATTGTAGAGAAGTGTGATAGTTATAGAGGTCAAATTTATTATATTCAATAATAGTCTATTTTTTAAAAAATATACTTATAAAGAAAATGTGTTTATATAGAAAGTGACTATAAAGAGATATAACTGTATATAATATTAATAGTACTTTGAAATAATATTTAATTAATTTGTAATACTTGTATAACTAAGTTTATAAAATTAATTGTATATTTATATTTGTTTTTTATAAGAATAGATTAAAAATTTGCTTTTAAACTTTAAAAATTTGCAAGTATTAGTTTCCAAGATGCAGTATATATTTTTAATTTATAATTGTATTTTTAAGTTTATATTATGACAATATTTCTATTAATTGTCTAACTTTATAACTTTTTTTGATATTTGAATATTAATTTGTTTTTGAAGTATTTTATTTTTTTGAATTAATAAGACTAAATCCTAACCCACTTTATAGAAAGATAAATTTATAAAATCTAAACCTTATTTGCAAGAATAGTAAAAGTAAATCACCTTTATTCAGTCCTTTAGAGTATTATATTTAGAAATGTATTATGTGCATAATACATGTTATATTTGCAAGATATAATAGCACATAATGCAATATAAATAGTTTAAAAATTAAAAATATACATTGAAATTATTATATAAATTTAACTCGATAAAATTTTTATTATTTAATGTATTAATTTGATATAATAAGTAATCTCATTAAAAGAAGCTTATATAATAAAGAAGTTTTCAAGAGTAAAAATTACATATTTAACTTTATTTTTTATATTAACATATAACAATTTGTAAATTTTAATTATTTTTGTAAGCTTAACTAGTTAAATAAAAAAAATTCAAACAAGTTATTATAATCAGTTATTTATAGATAAATGAATTAGTTATCATAGTTTATGATGTTGTTAACAAATATAATAACCAATTAGTTTAACTGATTTTGATTTGATAATAATAGTTTAAATTTCAAATGATTAATTCTCTAACTATTTAACATCTTTAGATGTATATATAACCACATATTAAAGCTATTCTTAATAAAAATTAATTAGTAATTATAAAGTAATTATATGCATAGAGATACAGGGTTGCATAATACATCATGTAATATAATGTTGCATTATGTAATTTTTGAAAAAGTGTTTTTTGGTTTATTATTAATTGGTTAAACAAAGTTTTGATAAGCTAGCTGTAATTCGCTATTATCTATTTCACTTAATACTTTATTAATATCTTGGATTTTTTTTTTTATAACTATGAAGTACGTGCTTATTAGCTAACATATTTGTGTTTATTTGAGATTTATAACAATGCCTTTTTCTTATACGTGTATTATATTAAGAGCTTTGACTAATTGTCATCATTCAAAATTTTGAAAATTATTATTTATAAACATTCGATATAAAAGTAAAATGAATATGTGTATTTTTTTGAATCCAAAACAATAATATTCGAAGCCGAATATTATGAAAAAATGAATAGAAGCGTATTTTCTTGAAAGTAAAAAGAACACGTTTCGATGGGGTGTCACATCGACTATTTAATCAAAAAAACTATGTCAGTTACATTGATTATTTTATTATGAACAAATTTTTAACAGTAAAATTAAAATAATTATTCGAATGTAATTTTACTTTACTTAATTATTAGAAAAACGCGAAATTCTAAAGATATCACATAAATATTGCACTTATTTTTCCAACTTTTTTAATTGACAACTGTTCGTTAGAACTGTTTCAAGTAACTATGTTTTATTTTTCGCTAAAGTATAATAAGTTTTATTTATATGTTTAAGATGATTTTTCATCCTAATTAATGAATTTTTAAGTATTCTATAAAGCGAATATTCGAAACCAATACATTAATAAAAAAAATAAAAGCATAGCTTTATTCTTTGACTTTATATAAATAACTTGTGAAAATTTTAAGGCAATTGCACACCTATATAATAAGTTGTTATATTTTAAAATATCTATCAATTTTTAAGTATATAGGGGTAAATCGTAAATCAAACAGGAGGAAACGTTGATACGTCACAAAACCGTTACACAATTGATAAAAATTTTTTTATATTATTTTACAATACTTTTTTGGAAGGCTCGTTTGACTTAACTTTTCTATGAATATTGAAAATGATTAAACAAACATGAAGCTCTCATTTTGCTTTACAACATGTTTTTTGAGTCCCCTTGAATCCCACGGTTTCGTCTTTTTGTAAATTTCACCATCGGGACTGTAACTCACTGTATGAATCGGACCGTGATGACCCTTATAAAATTCTGAAAAAAAATTGATAAGATTTTTATAGCACCCAAAAACGAAGTGATATGTAAGTATCGAAATTAATACAAACCGAGTTCTTTACCACTCTCAAAATCATATATTCTCACACATAAATCGCTACTTCCGCCAGCTACAAATCTTTTATTATCAGGATGTAAGGATACTGAGGAAACATCATATGCTGTTTGGATTGATTTAAAAACTTGGTAACTAATACAAAAAAAATTAAGATTAGTTGCTTATTGAAACTACCATATAAAAAGATTTAATAAAATAAAAATAAATAAGTACGTTGAAGCATCCAAAAAGTAAACAACCTTGCCAGCTGTACTCGTAATATATTTTCCGTCTGCTGAAAGCTCCATACTTGTAATAGGTTGATCAGTTTTAAAAGTGTTAATTTGACCAAAGCTGCGAAGGTCCCAGACGCTAACAAATAAAAGGATACTTAGATTTAAACGTTTCAACTCTACAATGAGCATTTTAAAAAGTTTAGTAATAGTTAACTCACCGAATCTCTTTGTCATCACCAGCACTCAATACAACATTTCTGTCACCATCCCAAATAACGCTTTTAATAGTTGATTCGTGTCCTTCTGCTTCCACGGTTGCAGTATCTGGTTTATTTAGATCAAATATTCTTAATTTCTTTTCTTGACCACCAGAGATAATGCGCGTTCCGTCCTCCGAAATGTCAGCTGAACGTACAATGTGTCCATGGGAGAAAGAATAAAGCACGTCACCGGTATAAGTGTCCCATACTTTTCTATACCCACAATATCGAATTAATAGAGTTAGATTGTTGAGTTGATGAATCAATGTAAATCAATATCGATAAATTGCATACGCAGTAAAATCAGCAGAGGCTGTAACAGCTTTAGAGGCATCCTTGCTCAATTTAGCACTCCATACAGCACCTTTATGACCCATAAAAGTGCCTATCCAATCTCCTGTAGGACCATCTCTAAGCATAGGGTTACCATCTAAAACCACACGAATATATGGGTTAAATCTTTAGCTCTTACGAAAACCTGAGAACAGCACAGGATTAGACGAATACCTTTACAAGCACTTATTAAATAATAAGTGCCATCAGAGATAGGCGAGAATTGTAAATGCACGACAGGACGAGTGTGTCCAGAACATGTTAAAGGTATAACCCTAGACGGATTTGAATTTGGAGTCTGCGGCGTTGCCATTGTGAAAAATGTGAAACGATAAACTAATTTGAAACAATAAATATAATGTACATATGAAATCGAGTGTTTTAATATACGTATTAATTGCTTTCCCTTCCAAAAGAAGGAATGTGTGTAGATTTCTCATTATCATAGCATTTAGAGGTCACAGGAACTGCCAGATGCAACTGAACTACCCCGATATCCGGACAGTCAATGGACGCGTAAAATCGACGGCAAATTTTTGTGTAATTTAATGCGATCAAAAAAAAAATCGTCGATTTTTCAAGTTGGAAAAACTATAAATTCTTGAAATCCCACCCAAATCCCAAATATAATAAAATTATCCCAATTCCCATCCCAAATATAATAAAATTCGTAATCCAAATCCCAACAGTTTTGCTAGCAAGTATAATTATAACAAAGTTTTTCCCGAGTAATTTTACAAGTTTTATGTAATATACAAAAATCTAGGTAATACATGAACTACTCTGGTAGATTTGGGTTGCAGATAAATTAGTCAAGTTTTACGTATAACTTGTAATACGTATAAGTTCAATTTTTTTAAACTCGCCAGTACTCGAAGAGAAATTGTGTATACATTATTGGGCAAAAATTGTCGAATAACGGTAATTTGGCAAATGAGCATGTGCCGCTTTGTGGCACGTGTAGCCAATCATTTGCCAAATTACCGTATTCAACAATTTGCCCAATAATGAGTCACTCGCTGAGTTTTTAATTTGAATATTGGAATAACATAGCATGGTGGGGACAGGAGGAAACGTCCAAATATAGATATGATTTCCATTCTCGTTACACAGATCACTCATTGTATCGACCAGTCAAAATATCACTACGGGATTAGTCAACCAATCAAATTGC